TAGAGTTTGCAAAGAACTTCAGAACTTACAAGTTATATGTACTTTACATTCAATTATTCCGATCTAACATAATTTTTATAATATCATTTTAAAGGCATTATATTTTAAAATTATTATAAAGTTTGCATTATATTATATTTGTAAAATAATTTTAAAATTATAATTATTAAAATATTTTAATAATTATTCTATAAAGCTTATAAAATACAAATAAGTATTATTTAAGACTTATGATTTTTTATCAGATTTTTATCAAAATACTATATATAAATTATATGATCTGATATAATCATTCATAAATGATGACTTAAATAAGTAATATTTAATAGTAATTATAAAGTAATTAATATAAAAATAATAAATATTTTAAAATTAGAAATATTTTTATAGATTTTTATATTATACAATAATAATTTATAAAACACATTATAATTCTTATAATATACTTTATCAAATTAAAAAATTAAATTAATTTCTTATTATTATAAGATAATATAATATGCTTATTCTTTTATATTTTTAAAAAATTCATGTTTCTTATTCTTTAAATAGAGTAAAATAAAGTTATATACTATAAATAATAATAATAAATATAGACTTGATATATTACTATTAAAAAAAATATTTTTTAATTAAATAATATAAGAATATTACTTTAAACTTTAAAATATAAAAAATTCTATTTAAAATCTAATTTTAAATTCTTTTATTTTATCTTAAGCAAAAAAGAATATAATTATTATAATATAATTTTACATATAAATTCTATCAGTATAACTTATTTTTTAATAATTTTCTATTAATTTTCTTATTAATTTTAAATTTTTTCTTTAATTTTTTAATGTTAATTAATATATTTTATGAAATTATTAATAAATAATTTTTTATTTTAAAAATAATCTAATAGTATAAAAAATTTGTTTGTTTAAATAATTTATATTTAGAACTAATAAAATATATAATTTATTATTATTTTTATATTATATTTTTTTTTATATTTTAAATTAAATTTATAGTTAATATTAAATATAACACTATAATTAATTACAGTTAATGATAAATAAGTATTATATAATTACACTAATTATAATATTATTAAAGATTGAATTATAATTAGTTATAATTAATATTAAATAAGTATCAAAGTGTTTAATTAATTATAATATTATTTTAGATATGATTAAGAGTTGCTATATAAAACTTAGAGGTTTTGCAAGTCGTTTAATTGAAAAAAGGTAAAATTTAGCAAAATTATATTAAAATCTTATTAAAATCTTATTAAAATCTACGAAATTCTGGAAAAGGTAAAATTATATTAAAGCTTAAAAAAATAGAAACTATATCAAAATCTTAGTAAAAAATTAGTAAAACTAAAGTTTAGAAGTTTTGCTAAATCCAAAATGAGTTTAAACAAGCAATCTTAATTCTAATTGTATATAAACTTTAATAAACTAATTTTAAATTATATTTCTATAAATCTAAATCATTATATATTTTTAACTAAATAAACCTAAATAGATGTTTTATTGAAAAATCATTTAAATTATAATATTTAATAAAAAGTTTTCATAACTAATCCAGATAAATTAAAAATTAGAAAATATATTAAAGTTTTTTACCTATTTAATTATAATAAAATAAAATAAAAATATATAATACAATAATATTCTCTAAATTGTCAAGCAGACAAATTTGTCTATAAATTTAAAAAAATATTAATAATATAAATAAAATAATTCAATATAAAATTAATTTTAAAAATTAATTATAATAATTTTTTAAAAGTTTCTTTAAAATTTCATGTGTTTGCAAACTTATTGAATTATTTTATTACTAATAAATTATTAAAAATTATAATTATTCTTTATAATAAATTTTATAATGTCATATTATGATTAATATTACTAAAAAAGTAAATTTTATATAAAATTTATGATAAAATTTTTTATAAATTACAAATTTTTAACTTATAAATAACTTTAGATTTTAATTATGTAATTAAAAAAATAAAACTAACTAATAATATATATTTATAAAATTAATTTAAAAAAAAAAATTAATTTTTTATAAAAGTAAATCAGAAGTGAAGTTATAATAAATAAGCGGACAAATTTGCCTGCAAACCCCCATAATCTATAATCTAAGGATAAATCTTTATTTCTAATTAATCGATTAATTAACAATTATTTATCAAAAAAAAAAAAAATAACTGAACAAAAATAAAAGTGCAGCCGTTTTTATTTTCGGTAATATTAATGTTTTATTTATTGTGGACCCAAAGCCATACTAGTTAATTAATAATAAGATTAATCAACAGGTCGGTCAGAAGTTTTTATCCCATACCAAACTAACAAGTATTACTTTTTTTTTTTTAGTAAAACTATATAAACCCAACAAATCTACAAATAATACGTCGGAAACCAATCATCCCTATCATCCCATATCATCATTATCACATAACTATCTAAAATACCACAATAATTGAGTGGTTGTTTTATTATAGTTCGTGAATCCATAATACCTGATTTGCCTTGGTATAATATCAAGAATTCACAAATGTGAAAACTTCAAACCCACTAATCTCTCCTTCCAAGTCTGTTTTCCGCAGATAACAAGATTTCATTTAAAATTGTGAGATTTTGTTTATTATCTTTTTTGACCAAAACATAAAATTCCTCCATAAGTGTACATTCATCTTCCTTCTCAATTGACTTATAGTACTTGGTAATATATTCCAATTGTTCTTCGACGCCTTTATTAAGCCTGGAAGATTGATGTACTTTAACTCGATTACCACATCTCCGCAAATAAGGTCAACAAACCCAAATCTAACCGAATCCCTTTGGTTTATTACTATCAATTAAACACAATTCTGGGATGGCAACAACAGTTCAGTAACTGCTTGTAATACTGCCTCAGCCATAGATGATAATGATGAGTTTAAGGATCATTTTGACTTGATATTATTTCTATAGGGTTATTGGTTGAAGCAGGATTTGGAAGAATTGCAGAGTCAGAAGATTTCCTCCTTTTATGCGTGACTTGCATGACTGTTGCATCTTTTGGTGTCCATTCTTTTACGCTTTTCCCCTGCTGATTACTTTCTTCCCATGCTGATTTACTCTCATCCGCATCTTCATTCCCTTTATTAGACTTTATAGAGATGAAAAAAATTATGTTAGATCGGAATAATTGAATGTAAAGTACATATAACTTGTAAGTTCTGAAGTTCTTTGCAAACTCTA